TTATTAGAATTACAACGTTTCTTCAAAAATTCTGAACAATTTCAAAAACCAAAAAACTATTGGAAAGATGTTTATTTGAGAATCGTGTTGATTAGTTTTGGGCAAGCCGTTTCTTCCTAATAAACTGCTGAAAAAAACATTTTTATAAAACTTTTTATGTTAATAGATATCAGGGGCCCAGTCAATGATTACCTTGCTTTAAGGGGCACAACTATTGCAACCGCCTAAAAAAAGGTTATTTTTGGGAATTTATATTAAAAAAACTACTTTATAAATGATTTCAAAATTTTAGGAATATATTTACACATGTTTTAAGAATACATAGTAAAATTTTTGAAGAAAAAAATTAAATATTTTTTAAGTTATCGTCGATCTCCAACGGCGCGACAAGAAAAAGGCCCTTCACTGCTGCAGTGATTCCGGCCTTCTACGTGGATGAAATTTAAAAAAAAAAATCTCGTTAAACTAGATAATATTGACTGTAAAACGAACTACGTTAGAGAAAAAAACAAAAATTGACAAAATTACGGCGTTTTTTAAAAAAAAGTCCAATTTTACCCAAAATTTTGGTCGTTTTTGGACTGCCAAAATTCGATTTTTGATTAGATCAAAAATCTGATAGGCTATTTTACGGAGAACTATATATAGAACATGCAAAATTCAAATTTGATAGTGATAGGATCATTTGTTTTTGAGTAATCGCTGCAGCAAATTCGAAAAATGATGTTTCGAGAAAAACGCGTTTAGATAAAATGATCGTTGTACTATGTACTATATATATATACTCTTTAAATGGCTGTGACTCAAAAACTATTTTAAATACCGATTTAAAATTTTGGTATGTTATTTTTAAAGGTATAACCTATCGAAACATGGAAAAATTGAAAATTCGATTTTTTGAAAATTTTACACTAGTTGTGCCCCTTAAAGAAAAATGCCACTTTTACCTAGTTCATTTACCAATTTCAGACAGCAGCCAAAAACAATTCTGTCCCATATTCCACCGCTCTCCGGTGCTATTCAAGCCCGAAGATCTCTCCCAAGCAAAACATTTAGCCGAATTCATCGTCAATAAAATGGAATCAGACAAAGCATTGCCTACTGGTGATAAAGAAACCATAGACTTCAATTTTGCCTTAAGAAGCATCGGCTACAAATCCATTTGCGCCGATCCCAACCTAAATTTCGACACATCTAAAGGTTTTATCCCTAACAAAGACGGTAAAGTTTTAACCCAAACCGGAAAAATAGATCCTGGTCTTTATGTGGCTGGCTGGTTAAGAACGGGACCGACTGGTGTTATTTTGACCACAATGTCGAATGCTTTCGAAGTCGCGGAAAATATGTGTAAAGATTTCGAAATGCAGAAAGACGAGGACTCAAAAAGTGGATTTGAAGGCTTGGGGTTGAAGAATCAAGTTGTTACCTGGAAGGATTGGCAGAAGATTGATAAATTCGAGATGGATGAGGGTAAAAAATTGGGTAAACCTAGGGAGAAATTGTTGGATGTTAGGAAGATGTTGGAGATTGCTGGTTAGGTAAATTAAATAATTTTTATGGTTGTTGGATATTTTATAAAAATGTTAATAAAGGGCCAATTTTTGGATAAAATATAAATGTTATGGTAATGCTATGTTCATATGAATTGGTAGTAAAAACTGTCAAAATGCTATGTATTTGCAGTGCAATTAGGCGCTTTACACATGAAACCCTTAGGTCCATAAATCACGTGATCAATTTTTTTAGGGTTTTTGAATTTACACGTGGTAATATTTAAAATCATCCTCTCTCCCCAGCCAAAAAGAGCATGTATTTTTAGTTATGAAAATAAATCATAAAATTTTTGGAAATGTTTGTATCTTTTTAACTTCCCGTAGGGCAAGTTAAAGTAATCGCAAAAAAATCGAAAATGTAATTTTTTATATATCTTTAGGTTTCAGAGGTTTCTGTATATTTTGGCAGACCTCAGAAAAATTGGATGTATGTGTATGTGTGTGTGTGCGCGCGTGCGCGGATACAAATTTTCAGATTTTTTTCAAAATGTTCAAATATATATGGGTCATTCTTTTACAAACCGGACACTTTTTAACCTTGACATTTTAGAATTGTCTGAAAATTTGTTTACAGATACTATTCATAAAATCATTTGACACGTATTTCAGGATTTTGCTGAAAAAAATTTTTTGACGTTATATTTACGATTGAAATATGGATTTTTTGCTCAATTTCTATGAACATCATCTGCGGTAAATTAATTATCTCCGGATGTGCTGATCCAATCAGTATTATTTTTTTTTATTACACTCATATTGAAGTGAACTTTGTAATGATTAAAAAATTTTTAATCATTAATAGAGATTAATCATTAATAGAGATTATATCAGAATATCATTATATCATAATCATTAATAGAGATTATATCAGAAAGGGTTGAAGCCAACTTAAATATTCCTCTACATTCAAATATTGTTGTTAAAAAAATTCTAACTTTACTTGTTTTTGAGATATTGGCAGTGGATCTTTTTACCCACGAACTTTTAAGCTCCGCTCTCCCCTAATGTTTTTTTCGACTATACGTTCATTTTTCGCCAGAAGCGAAATTATAAAATATTTTTCAACCGAAAAACAATAAGATTGTCATTCGAAAGTGACAAATGAGTACAAGTCTTTGAGGTCCACGACGTGAAAAGCGGGGCTCGCGCTTTGAAAATATTTAATATCTTTCGATGTAACAAACCTCCACAAATTGTAAAAAGAATTTTGTTGCAGAGAAAAAAAGAAAATATATGTTTTTTTTTGATCGATTCAATTCGGGTAAAGGCGAGTAAAAAACCTTGTAAATATTTAAGGGTTGTTATTGTTAAGAAAATTGCAAAAACAACAAAAAATTTTTTAATCATTACAAAGTTCACTTCAATATGAGTGTAATAAAAAAAATAATACTGATTGGATCAGCACATCCGGAGATAATTAATTTACCGCAGATGATGTTCATAGAAATTGAGCAAAAAATCCATATTTCAATCGTAAATATTAACGTCAAAAAATTTTTTCAGGCAAAATCCTGAAATACGTGTCAAATGATTTTATGAATAGTATCTGTAAACAAATTTTCAGACAATTCTAAAATGTCAAGGTTAAAACAAAAAATTTCCGGTTTGTAAAAGAATGACCCATATATATTATAAATATATATATTATACCCAGTAAACACGCGATGTGATCTTCTATAATATCGACATCGTTATTATAATGCGGTTATCGAATCTACGCCACAAGAGGATTTTAAACTTGCGTGCGCTTGTGTGTGTTACAATACACGCAAAGCTCGCATTGAGTTGTCTCACGAGACATAAACACGCGCTGTCGGGGGTAATGACATCGTTGAATTTCATGTGAGATACATGTCGTGCGCTGGTGTGTGTTAGCACACATGCAAAGCATAATCAATGACGTCACACGGCGTGAAGCAAACGCGTCGTGCGCTGCGTTGTGTGCGTTGTGTGCTGGTGTGTGTGACCATACAAAGAAAGCTTTACATCAGCGCGCCGTGGCCACTGGTGGAACCGACTGTTTCTTTGACGAAAGCTAACCGCGTACAAAATGGCGCAAAATGTCACGAATTTATCATGCATCAAGTTATATTTTCTTTAGTATAATAATTACATTCGTTTAGTTAAGCAACTTGTTTATGATAATTGTAGAAAAGTGTAGAAAAATGACACTGTAAGTATATCATATATTATTTATATAGATATGTAATTACTTCACGATTTTGAATTCCATTTAGTGCATTATATCCTGGGATGAAGAAACGTTATTTTATGTCGATTTCTTTAGATGACAAAGGAGGTAACCAAATAGCATATCTTACAAATCTGAGGACAATAATAAGGATCGTTTATCAAGGTTAAAATAATTATTTTACTAAATTAAGACATTAACATATCCATGTGTTCGACATAACCTCACTTCTTAAATCTCTTAAATTAGTCGGTTGAGAAGCGGATCGAGAATGATTGTTTGAATATGTAAGTCACTACAAATATAATAGCTATACAAATATATATAAACAGCAAACACGTATGCCATGTTCATATTTATTTCAGAAGTCGTACAAAATTGGAATGAAACGATGAACAATATACAGATCTTTAGACAGGCTCAAATAATGTATGTTTAGGAGCAACTTGAAGATAATGGAGATTTATCTTCTTAATATGTAAGTTGATTCATATATAGTTGCTGTATATATATTATTTGGTAACAAATACATTATATTTATAATTGTTTTAGAAAACCTCTAAAATTGGGAACAGTATGTCATATATGCATGAACTTGATTGATGTATAATGAACTGAAGATATAATGAATTCAATCAGGTTAAAAAAAATGTATCTGCAAAAGCGACTCGAAGACGATTTAGATTTGTCTCCTGAATATGTAAGTTGCTACACATATGGAGTGGTATATATATTATTAGATTCAATAAAACACATTATGTTTCAAATTGTTTTAGAAAACTTCCAAGAAGTACATCATATATGAATATCCTGTATCCTCGCATTTGATGTATTGAACTGGCGATAGAATGAAATCAGTCAGTGTTAAAAATGTATGTGTAAAAGCGACTTTAAGATGATGGAGATTTGTACACTGAACATGTAGGTAGCTACACATATGGTAGCTGTATATATATATATATATTATATACAGTAAATCACATTATGTTTGAATTTGTTTTAGAAAACTTCCAAAATTTGGGGCAGTATGTCATATGTGCATAATCTGTATCCTGGCATTTGATGCAATGAACTGGCGATAGAATGAAATAATGAAAAATAGGCAGGCTGTTTGATGTATAAGGAAGTGGCGATAGAATACTTATGCAACACTTCACACTTCACGCCCCAAAAATAGAATTACGTTCATTAGATATACAACAATTTTCATTAAATATACTGTTATTAATATGTTAAGATTGAATAATTTGTAAAAAGTTTTCTAGTATAGTTCATGTTAAAATTTTATAATTTCAAAACTACAATTCTAATTTGTAATATTTAAATATTGTAAAATTTCTTATTATTCACGTAAATAAATGCTTATTCGTACAGAAAAGAATATTAATTGCATTACGTCATCACTTTCAGGTGCTACTACGTCATAACTGAGTCGCCATTTTGTATGACGTCATGACCGAATCGTTTTCATTCGCCAATGACGTCATGACTGGGGTGAACGCCTTACGTCAGACGGTCTTATCATAATAAACAAACATATGTGGGTCAACGTCGATTTTCATGTATCACGAACGCCACGTGCGCCAGAGACCGAACCTCGATAGTTGTTCGATAGTTACATAAATTTGCGGCCGTATCCATTAAATATCGAGGAAAATGAATATGGGAACCGCATGTCACACGACCTAAATAAAATATTGCCACGATGTTGTGGCCATATCGCATGTTTACTGGGTATATAATATGTAGGTTTTATGTGTAAAACGCCTGACTGCACAGCAAATATTTAACTTTTTGATAGTTTTTACTAACAATTCATACGAATATAGACCCATAACACTCAATTTTATTGGAGAATTGGCTCCTATGTATATATTTAAAACTTGTTTATAAATTTATGATAAATCTTGTAAACTATAGAACAATTATATTTTTAAAAAAATAGCAAGAAAAGAAAAAATATAGAAAATATATGATTTTTATTCACATTTGGAAATTTTACCTGAATAGCTACACCTGAATTTTTGCATATTTTTACGTTTCAGAGGTTTCTGAGCATTTTGGCATACCTTAGAAAAAATGAATGTGTGTGTATGTATGTTATGTTTCGATACAATTTTTCGATTTCGGGCGCACGGATCAACCGATTTGAATGGTTTAAAAAACATTCGATTCCTTTTGATAGAGAGATGTGCTGACTAGTTTTTGGCAAAGGCAGGTCCAGCCGTTATGGAGATACGGAGCAAAGAGTGCAGAAAATGGCTGTTTTTGAGAGAACGAAGAATCCGATTTGAATGATTCAAAAAACCTTTTGCTTGTATTGATGAAATAATTGTTTTTGGGGAAAGCAAAAAAAAATTAAAATTCATTTTCAAAAAAAATATTTTTTTGAATATCTAAAATTATTTGGATTTTAATTTTAATTCTAGCAAAAATTCTAATACTCACTTATATACTTTAAATAAATAATTTTAACTTTGCAATTCAGTTTATAAAAATCTTATAAATATGAGATAAGGTCCTTCATTCTAACTCCGCTTGATTAAGTTATGTTTATTTACTTTTCATGTAAACATATGTATATGAACGTCGTCGTCCAATTCATAAGCTCTTATATTTTGTCTATAAAATACAAATAATGAAAGTTACAGTATTTAATGGGAAGTTCCAGCAATTTGCCTTAAGGCACGATGCCATGCACCACTAGATTACTTTTTTCCTGTATTATAAATACAGATGATAAATGTATTATAAATGAAAAATAAATTATATAAAAAAATGATAATAAAAAATGTATTGCTTCTTTTTTACAAATAACCTAAAATTCATGCCTCTAACACTAGAAAACCTTTTTAAGTTAATTATTTACACACAGCGAGAAGTTCTTGCAACTTGTCTTGCAAAGACAAAACCCCACTTACACCTCGTTTCATAAACGTCCTCACATAATAACAAAATATATACAAAATCAAAAGATAAATACAACTCTCCATTATAAATTCTACTCATCATTCATCTCCGAATCACTAATATTCATCTCATTAGCCTCCTTCACTAATTTATCAAACGCTTCTTCCAAAGTACTACATGTCGGTATAGTACGTTCCAATTTAGTATTTGAACACGAAGGCTCGTCCTTTCTTTCAATAAAAATCCTTTCCATATTCAGTCTTTTAGTCGTTTTATACTTATATTTCAATGTGATATCTGGACTTGTATCAAATATAGGATCACCTTCCATTGGTTCTCTGGATTCCTCGAATATTACGGCAGTACCCATCATTTCATCCCAGGTACCTAGTAAATGATAGTATGATAGTAAAATAGAATAAAATTATATTTGGAAGTTTTAATCTAACCTTTAAAAACATGTCCTCCCAATTGTAAAATCGGTGTGTTACTGTCGATTCCTATTAACTCTACTTTTATATCTTTAGAATCTAAAATAGTTTCGTCTAATAATTCAGCAAAATCAGCATAAATAACAATTTCTTCGGTTTCTGTATCGGAGTCATCGTTTTTTGTTTCTGACATGTTGTTCTTCTAGGTTAATTTTAATAATTTATTAAATCACTATAAATAATCACTGATTTTTACTTATACTATAGTAATAAAACTAATTAGACTTAATTAATAAAAATTAGAGTATTAGTGTAATGATTTTGTAATAAAAATGTGTAAATAAAATAAATATAATTTATAAAGTGTCAAAAAGTGCAACGTTTTCTGGATAGATAGCGCGCAGATGGCGCGAAATTTAAAATCGTATAAATTTTATTAGTGAAGTCGAATCGAATCAAATCATTCGATTTAATTCCTTAAAATTTGATTTAAATTAGATTTTACTTGGTTCGAATCAACTCGTATCAAGCCAAATTATATTTACTATAATCTCTTACACCAGACAATTTTTTGTCTGACTGATTGAGACACAAAATGTATAAACATATATTTGAATAAACAGAAAAAGAACCCTAAATTTTTTACTAAATCATCCAAAACCATCCCACATCTGATCCAAATCAATATGAACGGCATCAACCGACTTCAATCGACTCATATTCGACTTCTGAACCGAATCAAAAAGGCTATTGATGAAAATTAGTTTGCACGTCAGTAGAGTCTCTTTACGATTTACAAAGTGTAATTTTACAGTCTAGTCATTATAGAAAGTTCACCTGGAAATTTGAGATACCCAGCATTAAGTCTGTAAATACTTGCATATTGACACCCTAAAGTTGTCTCAAAACCTACATATGGTATTGACACCCTCTTTATAAATTGCAATATTTATGATAGTGTACCTAATATTTTTTCCACGTTGTGGCTTTAACATGGACATGATATAATAGATTTATTTTATATATTTTTCATTGTCTATAATATTTTTTACAAATATTCTAATAAACATAATATAAGGTTGTCAAATATCTCCCTTCCGCCTTTTTGTATTATAAACCAAGAGCAAAAAAGCGGAAGGGAGATATTTGACAACCTAATATAAAATAAATGCGCCTGCAACGTTCTTGAAAATCATACATGTATCTTTTCGTTTCACTTTAATTTTGTTCAATTGCCAAGAAGTATTTTTTTATTAATTTATTACGTCTTGACTAAATGTATAATTTAATATATATATATATATATATATATATATATATATATATGATATATATTCACAATAGAATAATAGTAAAGTTCTGTAAAACCAGTAACACTTGAAAGAGACCCTTTAAATTTATAAAAAATCAGTTTTGTGAAATAAGAAATAGGGGTTACTATATATATATATATATATATATATATATATATATAAATACATTTATCCCCTATTATAAATTCTGTTTAGATAATATAGTTAGTTCCTATGTCCAGATTTAGCTAAAAACTGAATGTCTCATCAAGCTAAAAATCATCAGTATAAAATATATATGTTTCAAAATTTTGTGTATTTTTTTTATTAAAAATGTTCATTCAAATTTTGAAATATATAAATTTTGCACTGTTGTTTTTTTAACGAAAACTTGTTTAAATTAAAAAACAAAGTTTTTTTTCTTATTTAAATTACAATCTGTCTTATAATTAATAGACATTTAGTAATTAATCTGAGACTTAATAAAGGTATAATGTTTTTAGAGAACCATCCATTGGTACGTTTTCTAATTTATGAAAATATAAAAATAAAGTCTGATAATAAGACATATCTAGTCTCTAAACGGCATTAAAAAATTTACGTTTTGTATTATTAATTGGACTTCTTGTTAGGAAAGATAAATATCAAATATTGTATAATCCAGGACACTCTTATTTATATATCATATATATATATATATATATATATATATATATATATATATGTTTAGCAGAGACCCGTTCGTTCGACAAGGAAAGTGATATTGTAACATTTTCGGCAGGGTCAAGGACCTGAATATATATATATATATATATATATATATATATATATATATATAGGCACATATGTGTATGACAGATATATTTCATTGACCTTGTGATTTAAGTTTATTGATCTTTTTTGTGTATTTTTATACTTGCGTCAGTCAGCTGATCTATATATACATACATATATAAATTATACATATACACTATATATATAATATATATAATACATATATAAAATACATATATAAATTATACATATATAATATATATATATATATATATATATGTGTGTGTGTGTAAAATTTTAAATTTCTGAACTAAGAGCCTTATTTTTTCTTCAAAAAATTGTTTCGTGAAAGTGGGATGTCCTCATCTTGAGAAACTATTTATAACAAAAATTGTGTATTTATACACTTATAATTATTTTAAAATTGAACAATACGCTTGTTGTCTTTAAAACTAAACACTTTTCAAATCAAAGTATTATTTTGCAAGTAATTACTACGGATATCATTTTAATGTAAATTCTATCCTTTTTACTCTTATTTATTTAAATTTGGTATCATTATTGTTAGATGTTAAATTATTTAACAGTTATAATAAATATTGTAATTGAAAAAAAAATTTCAAGTAATAACCGATATTAATGCTGCTTGATATCAGGCTGCCAAATTGGAAGAATAAAGTTAACATGGTGAAGCAAAATTATAATAATAATTATATGCTTTATGTTATTAAATTCAATTATACAATAATAATAACAAATAATTCAAACAAAAGACAAAGAAACACTAATTAATATGTACGCATAGCTATAAAAAAATAATATCAAAAATAAAATAAAATACTTAAGTTATTAAAGTTCAAATAAAATATTAAGTTATTGTATTGAAAATTCTCAAAATTGTTTGATCACAGAATCCTATCCTTAAAATTCATATTTATTTGTATTTTATTAACTCCATTTAAATATTTTTTGTTTTATTACTATGTTATATATGAATATTAATTACTGTTTCTCATTTTTTGTACTTTGTTAGAATTGATTTTATGCACTGAAGATGGGTCAAAGCAAGATTCAAAACGTATGCTGTTCTTGATCGATAAAATATTATATTTTACCGAAAGTCAAATTTTCTTCCAAACTTTTTTAACACTGGTCTCATTCGATATAGAATGATTTGAAAGGTCGAGAAAATATAAAACTGCAGAAAATCGGAATTTCTGGTGAAAAATTAAACTCCCTCTTCGATAGATTACTAAACAAAATGTAAAATAATAAATAAAGTTTATAGTCATTTCACGTGTATGAAATAGTTTTTAATGGACGACATAAAAGATGATCTAATAGTAGTGATGGCGTCCATCAAATTTAAAAAGATGTTCTAATATTATTGCAAATGAACGTGGGCGCGATATATATATATATATATATATATATATATGTATATATATATGTATATATAATATATGTCGTGGATGAGCAAATTCAAACAAATTGAAATGAAGCGACCTTGAACCTCAAAAGAGCGATGTCCTAACGGAACTATTATATATATACACACACACACACACATATATATATATATATATATATATATATAATATATTCAAGTTTATTTCATTCATCTGTCAAACAATTATATTTTTTTTTTAATTTTTCCACTTTTTTCGCCATGATTACCATATTGTTTTAATTCATCACTATTATTAACTTCCCGTAGGGGTAAGTTATAGTAATCGTTCACAAATCAAAAATGAAAATTTTTGCATTTTGTCACGTTTCAGAGGTTTCTGAACATTTTAGCATACCTCAGAAAAAATGGATGTGTGTGTATGGATACAAACTTTAGTCCACGTTTTCGGGCGCACGGATCAACCGATTGAATGGTTTAAAAAACATTTGATGGGAGGTGTGCTGAATAGTTTTAAGAAAAGGCAAGTCTAGCCGTTTCGGAGATACAAAGCAAAGAGTGCAGAAAATAGAAATCGAGTTTTTGAGAGAACGAAGCGTCCGATTTGAATGATTCAAGAAATATTCAATTTGTAATGATGTGGAGAATTGGTGATTAGTTTTTGGCAAAGGCAGGTCCCGCCGTTTTGGAGATACCGAGCTAAATGTGCAAAAAAATGTCAATGTTTTGGAGAGAACTAAGCATCCGATTTGAATGATTCAAATAACTTTCTGCTTATGTTGACGAAAAAATTGCTTTTGGGGTGAAATATTTTTTTTTCTTTGAATATCGATAATAATTCGAATTCTATTTTTAATTCTAGCTAAAGTTCTAAAACTCACTTATATACTTCAAATAAATAACTTTAACTTTGCAATTCAGTTCCAATAATTCTCATAAATAATAGACAATGTTAAAGACAATAGCCGTTTAGGAGTAGTTTAGTGACACACACATTAAAATCATTCTAATCGGATGCTCAGTTCTCTCAAAAATTGAAATGCCACTTGTTGCTCCGAATCTCCTAAACTGTCGGATCTGCCTTTCATAAAAACTAAGCAGCATGTATGTCTCACGGGTAATAGAAAGTCGAATTTGAATTGAATCATTCCAATAGGTTGATATGTGCCCCCGAAATCGTCGATGAAAAATTGCATCCGCACATATATACACATACACCCAGTAACGCATGTCCAGAAAGTTTTGACAAAATTTATAATTTTCTAATGGAAAGTTAATAATTGAAATATTTTCCTAATTTTATAGATATGATTTCATTTACCACAATCTTTTATTTTCGAATCCGAATCGGAATCTATTATATATGATGTAAATATATTTGTGTCCGCGTTCAAGTTCAAATGATTTTTATTTAGAGATCAATGTCCCGCCGAAGTGGCATGCGACATACGTACGACATACTACGACACGATCAACGACTAACTTTTAACTATATATAATACTGTCGATACAAACAAAAGGCCGAGCGATAAAATTATCAAGAAATTGCGTCATATATGAATATCATCACATACGTAGAAAAAACTGTGATACCAATCGTATTGTATATAATGTCATACTTGATGATGTACATATTGCGAATTAGTTTTGAAGTAAAACTTCTTTGGACGCGACAAGAATGCAACAGCAGTATCCTCATATTGCTGTTGGATTGTCGTCGCGCCTAAA